CACACACGCCTAATCTGACCACCACACCTTGTTTGAAATGGGCAGAGAGAGTCAACCGCTCAGACTGTGACATGCCGGATCGATGCCGACAGCCCTCCGACCTTCCTCCCACCCAATCTTCCAACACCTCCCCGTGACTGACAGCTTCCATCAGTCTGCGTCTAATGCTCCTTCAGCACATACAAAAAAAGAAGTGCATTGCTAAATTCTTGCCCTCAAATATATAAACTATTACACTTAAACAAGCAATAAGAAATACTACTTCAATAATTTAGCAAATGATAAAAATATTAATCAACTAACTTTTTTTGCATTTTTTTATCAGCAGGTTTTCCTACTTGTGTGCTTGAGTCTTCAGGAAATCAGCAACCGTGCTTGATTATCATATTTTCTGATTCAGGTCACCTTGACTGAAGACCAAATAATTGATGTGCTGACATGTTGCCTTCAAGCATTCAGCGATGGCTGCAGTGTTAAAAGTAAATTGAGGATTTCACACACAAATTTCGCAGATACACGAGGATACTGTTTGTACCTGACATTCAAGAAGGCCTCGTTACAGTAATCGTGATATTCGAGTCTGGAGCTGGGCTTTTCTTTAGTTGTGCCAATCTTCTAAAATGCATCCTGTTTCTAAGCAGACTGTAGTTCTGCAGAATACAATGTGTCTGGTTTGCGGAACCTTTTATATAAGGATTCTTAGATGAATAGTCCTCTTTTTTGCCTTTTTCTGTGTGTGTGTGGGAGGACATCGTGGCTTCTGAGAACAAAGATGCACATGAATGAGAAATGATGAATGATGCCTTTTTCTGCATAGAAATCTAGTGCATTAGTAAGATTACATAATGCAAAAGAGGGACTCCCTAAAGCAAATGAAGCTTTTACTTCACAATGTCTCAGACTTTTGCTAATGTACTTCTTTCTTTCTGCCTTTGACTGTTATACAACTATTTTTTTTATAATTGGCATGTTATATCATGAAGGTATTGGTTCCAGAATTTAGCAATGTCAATTAGAGGTCAAACTTTATATCAAGGTATTAAATTTGTAATAACATTTTATTGATGCAGGCAACTTACAGGTGTAAGTGTAAGTAAATGAAGAGCATTTTCCTTTCTTCTTTCCCATGAGCTTCTGTCACTGATGACACAGTTCGTAATTGAAACGAGGTGCCAGCAGGAGAAACAACAACATTATCTCCAGTGACACAGCCCAAGGCCTAGCCTGTTTCCCTGGAAATTTTAAGTAATTGTAACATCACCGACAAACACTTCAATATCTAAAGTACAGTAGCCTAACCTTGTAACTCTTCAGGAGTCTGCACGATATTGTCATTTAATAAAACTGAAAAATATTATCTATGCCTGGGATGTTACATTTTAGTTTGAGCTTTTTAACCAGCCTTGTTTTTCCACCACGTAACCACAGCAGTATTTTCCACCTACTGTTTGCCCTTTCTGTCATATGGAGTATAACTAGTGCTAGTATCTCCTCCTTCGTAGGCTGACTGTACTCATTAGTGTGTGTTCTTGCCTCAAGTGGTGAAACAAGTTTGTTGTTTGCACCTGTAGCTGGAACAATTTTCTTGCATATTTTGCAGCATAATGTGGTTTGCTGGAGGTTATTGAAGTAGCTCCCTTCTTAGCAACTAAACTGCCATCAGAGGCCGCTCTGGCTCTCAGACATGCCTGGGCTGGTCTCATTGTTGTGCGAATTAGCATTGCTATAGCAATGATACAGCGATATGACATTTTTATTAAATTTGTAAAAAATGATACCAGTATTATTGCGGGGATATTGGATCAGCCCTAGATGTCATTATGGAGACTTCTGAAGTACTAAAGTAAGCCCACAACAGTCAAAATTACTGCATGACTGACTTTCTATGCTTGAGGCTAGTGTTGCTCACAAACAAATCGAGTGCGCAACCAGTGCTCAACATTTCCAATACACTAAGCAACAAACAAGCTGTTTGAAAAAAGTTCTTCCTCTGTGTTATACCCTCGTCAACAAACAAATCGAATGCTAAATCCACAGTTAAACAGGCAGCAAGCCTAAAAGCTGAAACTTGCAGCCTCTCTGTGTTTCTCGCAGCATGACTGTACAGTATCCCTTCCCTTTTAGTCAAAGGATTGTAATGCCAACGAGTAGTTGACACCACAATGTATGACTTTCATGCCCAACTGGCTGCTTTACTGTTTGTGGTGCGATCAAAACCAATACTTTTTACATTTTAAATGCATAACATGGCATAAATAGCTTTGTTTTCACTCCTGTCTCTCAAATGCATTGCTGTTTGGCTGCCCAGTTTCCAGACATTCTGAGGCAATGCCCAGTCGCAAGTGCAGTGGCAGCAAGAGGAGCAAAAAGGAAGTATAGCAGGTGGTGAGGGAGTGAAATAGGAGAGGTGAGAGAAGACACATAAGAGGTGACTGAAAAGAGGAAGAGGAGAGGACAGCCAGGAGGCAGCTTTCTGCATCTAACTGGCTCAGTGCAGTTCATACGCTTGCAGGTAATCTCTCCCTCTCTCTGACCTTGAGCACTTACCTCAGGACAATCATAACTTATGCCAACTCAACATGAAAGAGAGAGAGAGAGAGGGAGGGAGAGAGGGAGAGAAAGAGAGTGGGCATAGCGCTGACCCAAGCACATCTCTAGAGGATATCACCCCCACCCTGAGGGGCTTACACTGCCAACAGCATTAACTTCCTTTTTTTTTTCTTCGTCCAACACAGCATGCAATCAAGCAAGAAAGCAAGCACTGGTATTGTTTGTCTGATGAGTCCGTACACTGCACAGACTGCACTGCACTCTGCCTGTGTCTTCTTTTCTTTTTCTGTTTTCATGTGTCCATCTATCCTCTCCTCCTCTCCTTTTTTGAAAAAATGTGCTTAAATGACTTGTTATTCATTCTCACCAAAGTAGGTTTTATTTCCATCATGTAGGTAATTAAAAATTAAGCATTAATTTTGTCAAACTAGCAATCAATTATATAAAAGTGACACAATGGATAAAGAGTAGAAAACAAAATACCTGATACCTCACAAGTGTTCAGAAGGACATACCTTAAAATCAAAAAAATATGTAAGAGGAAATGATAATAATAATAATCATCACTATCATTGTAACAGAACTGAACAAACAACTATCTTTCAATCTTTAAAAAACAGACTGTGTGTGTTGTTGCTGTTTTTCTTCGTCTTTGGAAAGACATCTTTCTGCCTCTCAGCTTGACAGAAGACCAGGGTGGCTTCCTTTCAAACGTTGCAGTGTGGGAGTGCTTATCAAGAATTAATGACGCCTTTCAGAAGAAAACTTAACAAGCTATACTTATCAGGCATCTTCAGTACGATTCTTGGTGCTCAATAAACTCTAAAGCTTTCAAATTATGACGAATGGCTGGTTAAAGGTACCTGATGAGTCATCCTAGATTAGCATTCCCAGTTTGAATGAGCTTGTACAGTTGTCGAGTAAAAGATTTCCTCAAACCGAGATGCGGTGAGGCAAGTGGGAAGCTGCCAAGAGAGGAGATACATTTGCTGTTCTACCGTGGTCAACAGCTTTCTGGATGAATCTGCAGGCTCACTCCAAGACTGTGTAAAAAGGGTTTGTTTTTGTTGTTTTGTTTAATTGATGACACTCTTTCATTGGGTCTGCGCATTTACTGATTTGATAGGATCCAGTCACCATATAAAATAAATGAGTGAGAAAGAATGCATTACTAAACCAACGACGGGGCATTTATAGCTGATGGCAATAACCAGTGTGAAAGAACACAAGCCTTTGAGATCAGCTGCTGAAATGGAAATCATTCATAATTTCACAGCAGCCTTTTGTGTACATATTTAATGAATTCAGCAGTATTCTGCTAAAGTCACTTAGTGCTAAATTCAATACACTCTGAGCTGGAATTTAAAAAAAACCCACACATTTCTGTCAGAGTCCCCAAAATCTCTGACAGAAATGACCCTGGGAAGATTGCTCATTCATTCATTCATTCGTGAATCTATCAGACACACATACAGAATGAAAGAAAGATCCAACCAAGCATCTAAATACAGTTGTTTACAGAAGTTTATATCCACTAATCATGGGCATGAATGTCATGGTAATTTGGGGTTTTTAATGATGCCTTTGAAATGTTCTTCTACCAGGGTGGAACGATTGTACAGCATGCATCTTTACCGACTTTAAGCAGGACAAATTGGATGCACGAGTTTGAAATCATTTCTCTTATCCACATTGGATCAAAAGTATGTATACAGGCACAAAATATATACACGCACCTCCACTCTTATTTGGTTAGATCGCCTTTAGAATGTTGCATCCTGACTAGATGTTTTGGTAGCCTTCAACGAGTGTCTGGCAGAACTCTGCCTGGATATTTGACCACTATTCTTTCAGCATTTAAACTGCTCAGGTTCCTGGCATGGACTCAGCTTTAAGTATAATTCCCAAATTTTCAACAGGGTTCAGGTCGGAGCTTTGGAAAAAGTCTGTAAGCTTAATATAAGAATGCTTTATCCACTTGTGTATTTGAGATCATTGTCCTGTTGAAACACCCATCTGCGCTCAGTCTTGGAATCGGCACTCATTTGGAAAAAGCTCCAGTTAAAATACCTTCCCAACTTGATTAAATATAAAATATAGATAAATCTTCACTGAGTTCCTTGGACATTGTCATTGTTCTGTGCATTGGTCAATCCAATGAGTGCTGTCAAACAAATCCTTTTTATGCTAGCAAAGAGCAACTACCAGTTGTAATCGGCCCTGACAAGTTAAAAGACACTGCAAAACCTTAAGCATCACGTAATAAAAGTAAAGTGTATCGATGTGACTTAGAGAAAATCCAAAATGAATTTAAACTTGTGCGCCCAATTCTTATTGTTCAAAGTCATTAAGGATGTATGCTGATGCATGCTTATTACAATGACATTGCCCATAATGAGTGCATGCAAACTTCTGACCACAACTGCACTTATTACAGCATGATGACTTACCAAAAGTTGACCAGGAAAGGATGTTCAAGGTTCTGCATGATCTGGAGTTCTTTGAGGACGTTCCTCACTTCGTTCCGCTCCACGCATTTTAACTTGTTCATGTACTTCATGGCATACATCTTCTTGGTATCTTTCTTCTGCACAATGCAGACCTTAAGTGACAAGATCACATGTGACAACATGGCGTAAGGTAAATTCCTGTTGATTATTAATTCATTATTTGTGATATGAATCAAAAAACAGCATTCTGTTTTTAAAAATACTCAGACTAACAAATTTACAGTATGACTTATGTTTCCATCATTCATCCATACTTATCTAAAAACTTTTTTTCCACCAACAAAGGAAGAGGTGGACCATTTGAAACACTTCTGCAATAACCAGAAACACAGTCTACCAAAAAAGGTTGGATGGAAAGTTGGGGAGGAAAAGATTTGTCTTTAAGCCAGTGATCAAGAATTTAATCCCCTCTTAAGATGTTTAACTTTTCACACCAGCATATTTAGCATTTTAGAGATGGGAAACATCAGGTTAGCACTCATTAGAATTGCTAGTGTGTGTCAGTGGGGAATGCAGTCAGTTTTCTCAAATAAATAGCATTAATTATATGATCCAGCACGAAGAAACAGCGGAATATAACAACCCATTACGATGTGAAAAGCTGCTGTTGTGTATCAAATGCATACAGACGATATATGAAGACTCAAACAGGGAAACACATGCATTTTTATTAACATGTAGAGTTGTAATAACACTACACTTTTTTGTTGTCATGTTTGTCTGAGCTACAAGCGTCAATAAGCCAGTGATTGCTGCTAAGAGAGTGATCTGCGGACCAGCTGGCACAGTTAATCAGCCAAACCCTGATCACATCACTCCTCCCATTGAACAGCTTGCCATCTACTGTGATTAGACTGCTTATCTGTCACTGGACACAGTGTCGATATTGTGCGGGTCTCTGTTGTGTGTGAAGGTTATTGCATGTGCATGGGAGTGCCTGCATCTCTATATGTGCTTACATGTACTGTAGGTGCTGATGTGAATTACTATGCGGCACTTGGCTTAACATGGTGCTGCTGTTAAAACTTTTATCACGTCTCGGAGTGTGGTTTTATTTACGACGACATGCTGTGCTCTGTGCAGAACTCAAACAAGTGGTTGATTTGCTGAAAGAAAAATGGGGACCATACTGAGAATTCATTATTAGTTTTATTATCAGTTTGTAAGCAAAACATCAAATTTTCCTCATTTCAGCCTCTACATTGTGCAGATTCTATCAGATGATCTGACGGTAAACTGGATGGACTATTGGTCAAAAAACATCCATCTACTTTGGCTTTAGGGAATTAAAATGGCCATTAATTTCACAGCGAATAATGTAGAAAATTAGCAAATTAATAAGCCATGACACTAATCAGTGGCTGCAGCTCTAGGATTACATGGAACTTAGGAACAACCTGAGAGGTTTGCCTGCATGCTGTCACAACAAACACAGACTTAGTTTTATATGTAATAACTTTTTTTTTTTTCATTTTGTGACTGATTTTTTACATTTCAATAATCCAACCATAAAATTGATAGTTTTATAGTTTCATTATATATTTGTTGTTGCAGTTTTCTCTCAAATTATTGGCTGGGCGACATCTTAAGCAACACCAGTCTTCTGGAAGTGTGCATTGTCAAGTTGAGTCAAGTCAAGTCAAGTGGCTTTATTGTCATTTCAACCATGTGCAGTGGTACAGTGCACAGTGAAGCGAGACGCTCCTCCAAGACCATGACGGTACATATAACAGACAATCAACACAGGACAACATAAAGTGCAAGTGTGCAAAAATTGCTAGAAAACAAAACAAAGACAGATAGTGCAACTCCAGAACAAGGTGTGTGTGTGTGTGTGTGTGTGTGTGTGTGTGTGTGTGTGTGTGTGTGTGTGTCTGTTTTACTGTTGTTTCCAGCTAATCTGGGTTTATATTCCATCTAATTTCTTATGAAAAGAAACTTACCTTTCCGAAGCTCCCTTTTCCTATTGCCCTTAAGATCTGGAAATGGTCGAAATTAACTGTTGGCATAAACAAGGAGAAAAAAAACAGTTTCTTAGAATCAACACAAAACTAAAACAGAAATTAAGACCTAAAATATTATGTATGTAACTGTAACAAGATGGTGTTATAGATTTGTGACAGGGGATTTCTTTAAATCACCCCAGTAATTCTTCAGCTAAGACACCTGAGTTAGACACCTGTGTTGTTTTTACTCATTCACTATCAAAGTGAGTCCGTGGCATGACATTGTATCCTCGGTTACAGAGCTGTGTTCATGAAAGTCATTGGATCACAACCTGTAAGGTTTATACCCTAAATTTACAGTATTGACAATTACCAAAATAACTTTTTTTTAATTTTTCTGTAAAGGTTAAGCCACAAGTATGCGAACACTCTTAAATTAAAATGTTATTTTTAATACTAAAATATATTTGTAGTTATCCAGAATTTTCCAAATTTGTTGTTTTATAAAAAAAAAATTCAAAGCTTGTTTTTGGCAGATTTCTAAAGCATTTCTGTTTTGTTGTTTTCATGATAGATGGGCTAGTAAACATGATAAGAACTGTGCTTGAGAAAGTTTCATGAATTTGCTCCTGGAGGACTAAAAGTGAACTACTTGCAAATAACTTAGGGGCAGATACAAACCTTTAGGAAGTGAAATTACAAGTGTGCATCCTTTAAAACTAGGTCACTGATGTATTATAAATGCAAAAACCTGCATGTGTCACACCAGTTACAGTAGGTTCACTGTGAGGTTTGCTTTAAGCTCATTTTAGAACAATGCACCAGTCATGCTGAAACAGATGGAGGTCTCCCGGGCAACCAGAAGTCGCAGGTTTCTAATGTGACAGAGAAATGAAATAACCTTCAGCCACAAAGATGTCTGATATGATGTCTGTTCCTAAACACCCATTTCAGACAACCTAAGCATTTCAGTAGCTCTGCTTCTTTGCTGCCAGCTTTTGCGTCCTTCCCTCGCTCCCTGTGTCTCACCCACACACAAAGACAGACGCAACCTGAACCGCAGCTTAACTCCATATCTCAGTATCCATTTATCAGCAACATTTATCGCCAATTGGAACCGGATGGGGATGTTTGTTTCTTGCTGTCATGACAACCAGGACAGAAGGTTTTCCCTCTCCGCTGTTTCCCCGAGGATGGAACAGCTGCTGCCCACTCTTTCCACTCATCTGTCTGTGCGCGAGCGTGGTCACACACTCACACACAAACAGAGGAAAGAGGCACGCACGTGAATTATCGGCTGCATTCACAATCATTATAAAAAACACGCTTGCTTTTTGACATATAGCGCTGACCTAAAACATTACCTGCCTCTTTTGCAGCAGTGTACCGTGCGCACACGCACTCACTCAGCCTGCAGTCACTAGATGTATTGGATGTGACAGTTAATGTTATGCTCTGTTAGTCACGTATATCTGGCACATCCTCGTCTCACACTATCGGCACTGGAGTGTTTACACAACCTATTCCATATGAGGTCTGCTTTGTGATGCACATGCATGCTTGTGGCAGCCGATATACTGATGCACTTGCATGAACTCATCATATAGAGCCACACTTTTAGTAAACATAGTCATTTTTTTCTGCTGAGCTTATGCTTTTTGTTTATTTTTTTATTTATTTTTTTATAAAGACAGCTGTGATCGTGGTTGGAAGCAGACAGACTACAGAGAGAGCAAGAGATTGAGCGATAGAGACAAAGGCAGACACAGAAAGAGAGGCTGTGAGAGCAAGGTGGAGACTCATAATTTACTAGCAGTGCTTTGAATGGTTTAATGTGATGGACACATGAGTAACAGAGCATATAATGATTCAAGTCTGCATATGAGTGGAATTGGCAAATTGACAGCGTTTCCATGACTTAAACTAGCTGAGGAAGTCATGTGACTGACTCTGGCACTCATCTGCTAGTCAATTTGAATCTGACTGACATGTGCTTATCAGTTTGGATTGAAATAATCACGCTTGGTCAGTTTGAGCCTCGCACAGTCTCTCACACTCTTAGCATGACTGGTACGTACTCTTTCTCACTCGGTCCGAGTGTGCCCAGGCTGGGAACATTTCAAATATCATCCTTTTCTAGAACAGTTGCTCTGACAACTGAAACAGAATCAGCTGGTCAGTCTGCTCTAATCTCACTAAAGTACGGGAAGGTGTAAACAGGACTCATCAATATACTATTGCACAAGGTAGCACGTGCACGTGTCATAAGGGACACATGAAGCACACCCATCATTCCCCAGGGGAGATAAACGTGTCTTGACAGAGTTCACCTTCATGCACACACCTCTGTGTAAATCACCTAATATGGGTTGAGTGTAAGCTAGAAAATATGCACTGACGCCAGCACAGAAAACAGATTATTCCACAGATAAATTGATTACAGGGTCGGATTTATCAATGAGCAAAAAATACATTTAAAAAATTTTTGTGTTTAGTTTATGTCTATTTTTTTCTACGTTTTCTTACTATTGCTTTAAATGCATTTGCGGTTGAGTGTGGAAAAAGAAAGGGGATGCACATGAAAATGGCACAAACTGAAATATATCTATATTTGCATAGCTGCGTATTTAGCTTAAGCGCGCAATCTCACATTCATTTGTGTCAGTTACTAATCTCCATAAATCTCTGCATGTGAGTATAAATAACCTGTAGATAAGTGGAAGGTTTCTGGTTTCCGTTTGCAGTCTGGGCTGCACTGACCAATCATGTTTGACCAGGCTTCAGCTGCATGAACTGAGAGCAAACAACAGATTGCATCTATTTAAGTGCACTTTTGAAACCATCAGCTGTTATCTAGCAACTATTTAGTTTTTTAATAGGTTTTTAAATGTAAATTAGCTGCATGTGCAAACAGTGGCAACAGACACAACAGGAAGCCTTGGGCCTGATATTTGTTGGCAGTGTTAGAAGCTCCAAACTACTGTTAGCTCCCTTAAGGCTAACAACAGAATAAACGAGAAATCATTTATCTCTTTATATACAGGTGTAATGTATAGAGAATCAACACATTATTTTTTTATCTGACACACAATGATAGTCTAAGATTTTGAAATATGACCATTTATAAATGTTCACTTTACAAACAAACTGGTTTGCGACTGGTATCACCTCACAGTGACCTTTGACGCTTCTGAAGCATGAAGCGATACTTCAATTTGCATCTTTATTGCTACTCAAAGCAGCGAGCACATTATTAACATGCGGACCACCAACAATTGTCAAAAGAAAAGATTAGAAGTGGAGATTCTTGGCAGGTTAGGAGGTTGAATAATATTGGAAGTCACGCTTGCCCTACCTTTAAGCCATGCAAAAAAACCAAAAAAAACCCAACCATTGTATGTGGAGCAGTCTCTCACTTTTCTGTCTCTCCAATAATCTTTCCTCGCCTTCTTTAGTATCCCCCTTGTTCCCCTAATTACACTGGGTTTCAGGTATCTTAGGTAATCTAGACAGTATAGAGCAATGAGGGGATACAAAAGTAAAGTAAAGGACACCTATCTCTTCCTGTCGCTCACGGGACTTTCATTAGTGACGGGATGACTTTTTTTCGAGGATGCAGGGCTATTAAAAAAAAATCTAAACAATGTTTCTCAACAATGTGTTTTATATTCACCCTCTCTCAGTGAAATCAATTCAGTTCAATTCTATTCAATTCAATTTAATTTATATAGCGCCAAATCACAACAAAAGTCGCCTCAAGGCGCTTCATAACCCACGCTTTATTTGTGAGAAAGAGAAGTGTCAAAGAAGGTACACTATGGCATTAACTCGAGAGTTCAGAGGAGCTCCGATATGAATGACATTTCCAGAATAGCACACGAGATGACTAAGCATCAGGGTTAACCATGAATAATTACTTGATCTTTGATAAAGGTTGCCTCGATTCAAAAAGAGAAAACAACAGATTTCATTAGAGAGTGTGGGCCAGAGTGAAAAATCTGACTCTGGTTGGTCGCATAATAGCTACGTTTCTAAAATTCTAATGATAATTAGGAGAGTAGAGTAGCATCCTGCCCTGGCTCAAACCTTTGGCTAAATGCAGCCTTAGTCTGCAACTTTATAAAAAGACACAAATGTATCACATCACCTGATATACTGGATATAGAGAAGAAGGTAAGAAAACCTGGAAAAACCACTCCACTTCTGACTAAATTACTGACTCATGTAACACAGACTTTTTTGAAGGCCTTGGGGTTCCGCCAGAGTGGAATTAATTTCCAAGACTGACTCAGATCAATAACATCACAGACTATTATCTACTCAGGACACAAAGAAAAAGAAAATTTATTCAAACCAGGAGCTTCCGAGTTAAAGTACTAGTCCTATCAAAGGCTCCCTTGACTGCAATCAGCCTGAAAAAGAAAAACAATTCCTAACCATGCAAGACTTGGGTGATCAACAATGATAGATGTAAAGAATAAAGAATTAAAGAAAAAAACAGATGAGTTTTGATGAATGTCTTTGGCATTCAGTAAACAGCTTTTGTTTTTCTCTCCTGTACGCCTAACTATAAGAATATTTGCAAAAAATATATACACTGTTGTGGTCATATTAAAGCTAAACAGTTGTATATCAAGAGGTATTCCTCTTTTTCCTTACTGATGAGGAGTGGCTGCAGACCTAATCAGCAGGTTACACTTCTAGGCATTAACTGTAAGTGCTCTTAATCTTGGAAAGAGGATGGAAACATCTTTGCACATCAAAAAAAGCTGAAGAAAAGACGGGTTAAGCCAATCACTCAGTGGTGGTGAATCCTGCTCCCATCCTTTGCTGTCTTTGGTTTCGTTTAGATGTTAATCTCAAAGTAAAGACACTAAAAGTAGAAAAGAAGTGAAACAAGAACTATTTTAAAGGTTTAATACTCACCCTCATCTGTGTCTTCTGTGACTGGAGCCTTGCTGGACTGGCCAAGCCCCATGGTTGCTTCTCTTGTGGATTTTTCCTGTTGTGCTCAACTCAACTCAGCACCGAACAGCTCTCCCTCTGAGACTCACTCATAGCCTGGTCAACAACTGGCCCCAAACACACACACATACACACAGACAGCCTCACGTGCTCGATTGCGTTTTGCTGACTTGAATAGGTCCCGTCTTCCTCTTAACTGCCCACCTCGACACAACCACACATCACTGGATCCATACACGCGCCCACAGAGAGTGAAGGACTTGGGGAAAACACTAAAGGCACTGAAGTGCTGACACGCACACATAAACACACAGACACACACACACAGGCAGCACAACTACAGCGTACGTTCCCTGTCTGTCTTCGCTGCTGTTCAGGCGACTGCAGGCAGACGGACAGCTCGTCCAAGCCAGGAGGCGGGTGGGTGATGTGCCTCTGCCTCTGACCCTCTGATGACTGAGAGTCTAACCTGTGCAGGAAGGCAGGCAAACATGACACCACCATCGGAGTGAGAGAAGGCGGGACAGAGAGGAAGAGGGGGAAGAGGCAGCAGACTTTAAAGATACCAATAAACAAACTTTAATAGCAGCAGTACATAAACAACTCACTGAGGCTTGATTAGGAAATTTACTTAGTTAGTGAAAGAGGTAAAAAAAAATAACTGCTATTTGCATTTCTTACATATCCAGATCTCTTTTCCACTTCCTACCCCTTCTTTCCTTCCTCCTTTACTTTTCCCATCATTTATCAATAATTGAATTTATATATTTTAATCATAAGCACATCCCACAGAACAGTGCAAGTGTGATGAATGGTAAGGTTTTTTTCCATTAAGAGCAAAAAAGCTGCAGGCTTGATTTAGGGTGGTGTTATGTACTGTGAATGGAATCCATTCAGATGCCTTTTTAGGACAGGAGATTTCAAAAGTTTCTCTCTCTATTTTTTTTCCACAAAGAAAAGAAAAGAAAAATTCAGTTTTTACAGAACAGTTATGCACAATGCAATTATGAGTTGCAAAGAAGTGACTTGAAGTGATTAAATGGCATGATAATTTCCTAACACATCGTATCATATTTCAGTGGTTTTCCATTAAATCCTTTAATGTCACGCTTTAGTGCCTGTCAGTATCTTCAGGAAGAACGAGGGTCTAAAATGTGATATGTAGGTAAACTGCCTGCATGCAGTCCTTTGGGGAAGCCCGTTAATGAATGTCATCCTGAGACTGCGTGATAAGGTCACCACCGCGAAGGTGAATGTCCCTCTTGGGTAAATATGAAATATTCAAAAAAGTAGTGCGGGAAGCCGCAGTGCTGAGCACCCCGCAGAGGACATTGTGCCGGGAGCCCTTATCTGATCAAATAGGAAAGCATGCGCTGAATATAAAGTATCCCCACGCTTCCATGCAGGACAGCCGTGGGCACCTACCTACCTTAGTTGAGCATAGGACCATTTCTAGTCCGCTTTGCTGCAGAGAGGTGAAGAGCAACAGTGCTGCTCAAAGCATCACTTGTAGTCCCGTGTTCGGACGACGACGCACCGGGACATCTGCCACGGGAAACAAATGGTACCACACGGGAAGACGTGACTTGCGGGATGTGCCGACAATGCGAAATCCTGCGCTGTGCTTCTGGAGGACAACAGGACAGACGACAGAGCCGACGAAACACAGATATTTTGGCGGCGGGGGGGGGGGGTTGCTGCTACTGGGCTGCTTACACTGATGAGCGGCTGACCTCCTGTTCAAGAGCTGGCCACCCGCGTGCGCCTTGAGAGAGGCACGTTTCGTGGGCTGCTGTAGCGGGGGCTGAGGTTTCCCTCTGTTTTTTTCCACGAATGTTTACTCATTAATACTTCTCTAGTGAATTTCCACATTAAGAAAAATCTGGTTTCCTATTCAGCCCCCCCAGCTATTAAAAATCACCCAATGCTGATCTTCTCTTACTGTATAGACCATCACTTTGAAATTGCCTCATATTGCTCATTTCCCTATAGTTGCCACCATGGAGTCAGTGTTCATACTGTGTTGACAAGAAGTTGTAACCACTTCTTGGCACCAGAACTGTTTCCACCAGGTGCCCCAGGTGAAAGTCTCTTTATAGTCCAGCTGAGCCTGCTGCACCATAATAGCTTTTAAAATTATATGGAAATAGTAATTAGCGTCCATAATTCTCCATGTATAATGTCCCTCTAGTGTTCTATTCTGAGTCTGTGCAGATCTTAGTGTACTTTATTGTATTGTTTCATGCCAGCTATCAATACAGAGTTCATATTCTTGAATAGTCAAAAGCGTTATAAGTTTTCATATTGCCTACCTGTGAGAACAGACACATAGGTAGTGACAGTCTTTCCACATTTTATAATATATAGTTATGCAGAGACCTACATCTTTACCTATACATGATGATGTAGATGATAAATATGTGAAGTATGTTGCTTACTGCAATGCAGTTGGATTTCCTTTTGGCCATAGTTCTTTAGTACAGCCACTGATTATATATTAACATTTGCAGCCATTAACTACTAACTGTAAAACACATCCATCCATAGTCAGGACTGCACTATTTCCTGCCTCCCCCTGCTAATTGAGCAAGCCAAGGTCGAGAGGAGAATGGCTGAGTAGTGGGACTGGGGCATGCAAGACATGCTTACATTGCACTTCCTCTTTATGCCCGTCATGCTAAGACGCTCAGAGTTGGTCATCCATCTTACTGACAAGATCGCCCCACGCTATGAAGTGGGAGCAGATATCATTCAAAACCAGGCCAGTCCCTTATTGGGCATTTGACAGCATTGGGAAGTTTACATGTTTTTTAGATGTGATGAATAACGGCAGGCTCAGATCACACAGGGGCAGAGATGAAGTCAAGCTACATAACATGCCTGAGGTCATAAAATGCGTCCCTGTTTTCCCAGTTTTGTAAGTGAAAATGGGAGATTTTTATTTGGAAAAGGGAAGCTGTCATTGTTATGCCCATTTATACTGGATACAGATTTGAATAGAGGAGTGGTGATTTATTTTATTTTTTTGCAGAACTTTTATGCAGAAACTATAGAGCCTACAAGTCTGTGAAATTAGCCCCATCTAATGGATAAAAATGAGATTGTTGCCTAACAGCAGTCAAACTTTATACAGCAAGGGTAGTTGGCAAGGCTAGGCTAAGTAACTGTTATATGCCAGCTTTAAAAAAAGTGTACAACTCATCTGCTTTATATTTTGAAAATTGATAGTTGTTGCAGTGAAGCTATTTGGTATGACCACACATGACATTAACAACCTCTTGTTCCCATATTCATAAACAGATGCTTTTTTTCTAAATTAACCAGTAATATATAGTGATTTTTTTTAAGTCCATCACTAGCTCTTACATTAGCTTGTTAAAGAAGAGTTTGTTCTGTTTCTTCTTTACTTATTCATTTGTTTATTTGGTATTTTAGTTTAGTTCTGATGAGGCAATTAGTAAAAATCATTGTGAAGCTGATGCTCCAGCCATTAATGGAAAACTAATTCAATGCCTTCATTGGGATATTCAACATCTAAACTATCTGGACTCCTCTCCTCCTGCATAGAAGATATTAAAAACATATATATAGACTAAGACATGCGCCAATTTAATGCGAAAAGTACTCTATGCTGAGTTGGAAAATTCATAGTGTGCAGTTAGCTTCACAGTTTGTATGTATTATACAAATAAAAATTGTTGACATAAAAAAGTGTATGAAAATGTATCACCTGTGGTGGAGAGAACACTTACCAAATGCTACACATAATCGGAATCTGTAGTTCATTTCCCAACAGTTATCACTGTCAGTGAAAAAAAAACACTGTTTCTAAAGATTCATATATAACAATAAAAAAAAATATTTTCTAGCTACTGAGCAGTAATGCAGATACAACTTCAAAGTTGTATCTTTTACTTTATTTTAAATTTGTATCCATTAGAAGAGGAGAATCGATGCTGAACTCAAATGCACACAATGCATGCAAATCTGCATTATTGCATCACAAAGGATCTTCCCCTGTCATTCCTTCACAGTTATTTTGGAGTAAACAAAGGGTGTGTTAAAATCCATCCAGATGCATACGTGGCTCCATGTGAGCGTTGGTCACACAACCAAACCAAAGCTCTGCTGGTACACTAGGTGTCAGTGAGTCATGGCGATCTTTAAACACGTGTTGTTTATCTCATCTTTGATGCCGCTGATATTGAGCTACCCTTTCTACCCTCCAACATGCTATACTAAGGTGCTGAGCATGGCCCGGGACCTCACCCAGTGGGCAGCAGATTTGAAAAGGGACCCAGAGACTGTAAGTCAGCTTGGTAATTTTTTATTTTACTTTACACTTAAGTGGTATTTTATAACTATTCTAACTGTTTAAAAACTTGTAAATAATAAAGATTCTGTACTTTACATAAATAATTGTATATTATTTCAGCTGGCTTTAGTGACACAAGAAACATGATTTCAAAGAAATCATGGAAAGTCGGGAAAGGTTGCAAAATCTGTGAGACTTGATAGCTGTCATTCTTTTCATCCAGAGTTACTGCATGGCACGCATGCCAAATCTCTACATTGATGTTCATGTAAGTATGTCTTTATTATTAAAAAAGAATAATAAAATGGCATGATTTTTGCCATATAACATTCCGAAAAGAAAATGTTTTCTGCACTCTCCGTTCTGTCGATGATCTACACACATTGTTTTGAGTAATCTGGCCGTCCCTGCATTTTTGACGCTCACTTATGTGGTATTTTGACTCCAAACTTTAGCTGCAGTAAATCATGCGCAGGGACACTAATTGTTACTCATGACAGAATGGTTGTGTGATGTACAAAATGAGCACCTACCTCCAAATGGTGGAGGGCCTGCGACAGCGCCGCTGTGCTTACACCAGAGACGTAAGGAAGCTGGGTGTCACTATGCGACAGCTCTTCATCATCATGTCAGAGAGATGCCACGGGGTAAGACAAGACAAGCTGTCTAAATAAGTGTAAACTGTGCCATACTCAATCATATATCAGATATTAACATCCCATCTTGTGGGACTTAAGTGTGGTGTAGTGCATTTTTGCCTGGAAACTCTAAAAACGTCATAAAGTAAATTACAATTCATAGTTAAGATCAAACGTATAGCTCTGATTAAACCAGATTTTTATTGAATATGTAGTCACTGAGCTGCGTTTTAACTCACCCATGCACCTGATATAGTTTCATAAACTGAAAACAGGCTAACAGTGATGAGATGCATTCAAACTAACTGCTGTTTACTGGGTCACTCACTTGGTGATTTCGCAGGATTAAGCAGGGTTTATGATGCAGATTATGAATAACCTTCTGTGCTCTGTGAGCATTTGATCCCACTCACCTGATCTGTGATGTCAGACCCATCTGGGTCTGCTATTGGTGTCCTGACATGACTGATCTGCCCGTCTAGCCGAGGCCACAATGCCTCAGAGAAGGGTCAGAGTAAATTCACTTACATTAGAGAGAAAGGTAACCTTCTGCTGTGGCTTACATAAAGCATATACAAACATTATTTATCAAGTGAAAAACAAGTCACTGCTAAAATGTTCACACCTCCCTCACCGGTGTCCCATGGTGTGTTTTGTTTTCATAGGACTTGGTGTTCACAGCCTTTGACTGCTCTGCCCTGGAGCGCTGACATCCTGGATGCTGAAATATTTCAAGCTGCTCACCGAGAACGTTGATAGACAGCGAGAGTCTCAGTGGACATTCTTTATTTCTTCAAGTAATGACAGAAAAAAAAACAAACCTGGAAGACATGAGTATGAGATCACCTCAGTAAACCATATTGTGATTCTGATGTTATAAGCATGCATTCTCTTTGTAATGACATTTATTACCAACTAGATGATAAAGCAAAAATATTTTACAGAATAAGATGCATTATTTTTTTTAATATTACACAGGCTTCTTATAGAATGAATAGAGTCACATGTTTGGTTGATAGACAGTTGTTTGAATAAGTATGCAAAAACTTTTAATGCTGACTAATGAGTTAAACCCCTATGGAAGCAAATTAAAACTGAGCCTTCTGAGTACCTTTGATCTGCCAAATGTGATAAAAGACAGCATTCATTATATTTCTTGCAGGGGTTTTTTCACACACAGGGTGCCAGATAAGCATATTGCATAGTGCATAGTGGAGGTCATACTGACTGTATTAGGGCAGCGCTTAAGTAACAGTAACAGACAAGTAAAAGATCTGTCAGCCAAGACACTTCTATCTTTGCTTTTGTCGTCTTTAAAAACATCTGTAATAGCCACAAACAAGCTACTAAATTGACGCTGAGGTGTGACTGTTCTGCTTTTATATGTTCCCAATGTGTAAAATGGACTTTGCAGCACAATATAAGGTTTGGTATTAAAAGTAAGCTCCAGCATGATCCAGCAGTAAGCTTTATTGCATCTTACGATGGAAATATCACAGTAATTCTTTTGTGCCTTACATGTTTTAAATACAGTCAACACTGGAACACATGACACGCAACAGTAAGGATTGTGAGCTATCTGCAACCGTCATTTTCATTTGCCATAGCAGGAAAATATCATTTGTGCCCCAGTAAGACAGTGCACCGGTCTTTTTCACTTCATAAGTCATTACATTTTTGAAACAAACATCCCTCTGTTTTATCTACTGTGTGAAACAAGCTGATTTATTCAGAACTGGTGATTTAGTTCTTATACTTTTAAGTATAAGACACATTTTCTTGTAATATACAAGCTGGTATTCTAGGACATTCAGAGGGTTGGTGTGACAGAAGAGGATGGGACAGGGCGAGATAGAGGCAGATGATCTGCTGTG